GTGGCTGAAGTTCGCAGTTTTATCGGGTTCGCCTCCTACTACCGCCGATTCGTCCACGACTTCGCGACTATTGCCAAGCCACTTCACGCGCTGACTGCCAAGGGCCAAAAATTTCACTGGGGTGCTGAAGAAGAAGCAGCGTTTGTCGCAATCAGGGACTCTCTCACTAACGCGCCCCCATTGGGGTTCCTCAATTTTAGCTTGCCCTTTGTTCTGGACACTGATGCCAGCGATACGGGCATTGGGGCTGTTTTGTCCCAGAGAGTCGAAAGGGTTGTGGCTTATGGCAGCCATGTGTTGCCCCCGCAAAGCAGCATTACTGTGTGACGCGTAGGGAGCTGCTGTCCATCGTCCATTTTATGCAGCTGTATAGGCCTTACTTTTTTGTCGTCCGTACAGACCATGCTGCCTTAAAGTACTCCTTGCGGATAGACCAACCTTCGGGTCAGCTGTTCCGCTGGCTCGAAGTGTTGCAGGAATACTTATTCGAAGTCGTTCATAGGAAGGGTGCGCAGCACAGTAACACAGACGCCTTGTCGCGGTTGCCGCCGCGTGACGGATGTGCATGCGCATCAGGCGCCAGTCGCTGCAGGCCCACTACCATAAATGCGCCCCATTTGGTGGCAGTGGCCGAAGCAACGCCCCTCGACAGGGCGCCGTTGCCAGCATACTATCGGCTGGGCCTTACGGCCCATGAATGGTCCCGCCTGCAGATAGAGGACGCGTCGCTGCTTAAGGTGCGACGCCGCGTTGAACTTGCTGACCAAACGGCCTCTCCTGCAAGCGCCCCAGTGGTGACCCTTCAGCATGGCCTCCTCATGCGGTGGGATGCTGAGTTCCAGACGTATTGTGTTGTGGTGCCCACGGTCCCCTGAGGGAGGCTTACCCGGGTTGTTCGTGAGAAAGTGATACATTTGGGTGTTCGGAAAACGTTGAACACTATTAAACGTGACTACTATTGGCCGGGTATGGAGGACGACGTGGCATTATTTGTCAAGGGTTGTCAGGATTGTGCTCACCGAAAACCACCGGCACGGCAAGACCGGCCCCTGTTGCAATCCATCCAGGTTGAACGGGTTAATGAGCTAGTGGCCCTCGACATCCTGGGACCGTTTCCAGTCTCGCAAAGGGGCCATAAATACCTCCATGTCAGAGTGGAGTACCTCACCAACTGGCCTATGGCATGGCCCTTGCCGGATCAGTCGGTCGCGTCCATAGCCAATACCTTTGTGCACGGATATGTGTTGGACAAGGGGGCCCCCGAGCAACTCTTGACTGACCAGGGCCAAAATCTTCCCTCTAGGCTGCTCAAGGAGGTCTGTCACCTCCTGGGCACGAAGAAATTTAGGACGTAACCCTACCACCCTCAAACTGATGGGATGGTAGAGCGGTTGCATCGGAGCCTCACGTCCATGCTGTGCCACCAGGTGAAAGCGGGCCAATTCGATTGGGACTTGCATGTCCCGGGGGCCCTTGCAGTGTACTGGTTAGCCCCTCATGCCTCAATGCGATTCTCCACATCTTATTTGGTGTACGGGAGGGAACCAGAACCCCCCAACCATGTCCAATTTGGCTTGGACTCGTCAGGGAAGGGATCTGCGGTGCCAACCCCCATGTGGGTTACGCTTGATAGGTTGCGGGAAGCACGCGAGGCCGCTGCGAGCAGTTCGGCCAAACGGCAAGCGGCGATCGAGTGATTGGTGGTGCACCAGGGCTCTTAAACTCCGTGGGGAGTCGGCGATAAAGCTTGGCTGCATTGCCCGCACGTGCCCCTGGGGACATCCCATAAATTACATCGCCCGTGGCAGGGTCCCGTGGAGGTTGTTGAGGTCCAGAGACCGCAGTGCATGCGCATTCGGTTCGGCCAGCGCCGTTGGATTGTGCACGCTTCTAGGTTGAAGAGGTATGTGCCCTGTTCCATCGATTCATCCCCAATCCGAGAGCGGTGGGTGTCTGATGTGTCCGATGAACCGGGCCGCCGGTGTTGGGAAGCGGTGCGTCAAGGTGGTTCTTCTTCTCTGCCCGCAGTGCATAGTTCCCGAGGAACAGCCTGCGCGCCTGTCAGGGGGAGAGCCGTCTCGCAGGACCGCAACGCCACCGTGCGGCCAGGCTCCGGCTCGCGGGGGCGGACCAGCCTTAAGAACAAGTTCCAGGAACGGCTGTTCCGTTGAGCGCCCTTCCTGAACCCAACAGCTCGACTTTGCATTTTGCCACTGGCGGTGTGCTCGGCTCGGCGGATCATGTGGCCTTCTGCGAGGGCCATCTTGGCTCTTCACTTGCTTCCCGTGCTGATGTTCCTGTTCTCCCTGTGTTCCATGTTATTATTCTTCATGTTCTGATGTTTGGCTGCTTGTCGTAGGGGTCGTCCACATTTTCTTTTGTGTATAGGTGGTAACGTCGGCAGCCGGGACGGTAGGGTTTTTTTCACAGGGGGGGGTGATGTAGAGGAGTACCCCGAGTACCCAATGAGGGGGGAGCACGGGAAAAGGGGGAGCCGGAGGGAGGAGCCGGCCGGGGGGGATAAAAGGGACCTCACGAGAGGGATTAGGGGGTCGTTGGGGAGAAGAGCCTGCGGGAAGACATTTCGGGTCGCCGCCAAGGGAGCTACAGGTCGAGGAGGTCTCACCTCGTCGCCGGCGGTGTTGGTTGATCCCCCGCCGGAGAAGACGAGTGTGGAGGTCTAGGGGTAGCTGTAGCAGGCGGTGTGTGAGGGGTGGGACGTCCATGGGAAGGACGGAGATTAGCGCGCACCCACCGCGGGTGGAAGTGTCAGGGGGAAAGAGTGTAAAGGGGGTAGTGCGTGAAAGTAAATAAACGGCAAGCAGCCCTGAGCAAGAATCTTGTCTACGTCTGGTTCATTACACATGTTGTGCGTGAATATTCTGGGTGTTGCATATGTAGTAGCAGAACACTCGTTCGAGCGCCTTAAAAGCTTCTACTCGGAACACAACTCAGCTTTTGCATCAGGCAGGCGCCAAGTTCTCTGCTTGTAAAATAAGTATGTTACCACCAAACAGAATCTGAGCATACATTGAAGTGTAGTCTTTGATGTTGGATCAGGCAGGCTCTGAGTGTTCTGTTAAAAAAAAAAACTTTGCCACGATATTTCATAAGGCATAGCTCCTGAACTCATATACTGCTCTTGAAGTCATTGAAGTTTTTGCTCATGCCAAGCAATGAGCAACAACAGCAGCTTAGTAGTTGGTGTGTTGCCTAAAGAGTGTGCATTGTTAAGGTGCATACACCTCTACGAATTTTGTCAGGAACTTACCAGCTTGGAGTAAGGTGACCCTGGCCTGTCACTGGGTGAAGGATGCGTGATGTCTAACTGAGTGTGACCAAGGAAGCATTGTGCATGACACCAGAAGCAACACTGAAAGGCACTGTGAGCTGGAGAGACGTGCAACAGCCATCCAGCAGCACAGGAAAGGCCAGAGCAGTCACTTGCGGCCTTATTGGGTAGTTGTGGTCATCATGCAGCAGATAAGAGAGAATGGTAGCAAACTAAAGCAAAGCTTGCTTGGATAACAAAGTTTTTTACGTGTTGAGTGAGAGCGAGATCTTTCCTTGCTGGCAGGTCTCAGCATTACCTGTATCACCAAATCATACATTCCATCTTTCTACTAACCATTTCACTGGAGCCTTGCACCCTCCGCTTACACCAATGCAGTATCTTGCCATATCTCATGTACACTGTACGTGTTGAATTGTTGTAAGAAGCATCATACCGAATGCTAATCTGAAATACTGGTTGATATTTCAAGATTATTAAATCACCAAGACTAAAATAAACTTTTGGAGTGTTCTGTGGTTGTATTATTCCATGCATTATATGACTAACTTCTGACTGTTTCCTGCTGACAAGATTTATGAGCTTTGGGACATGAGAAGTCATCTAATTTATCACGAAAAATAACATACCCCAAGGCAATAAGACAACGGTAACAATTATTTAATGATTAACACCTGCCTATACAATAATATAGTTTAAAATCCATACTCATAAAACAGTGGTGAAAATTCAACATTCAATTGAGCAGGGGCCAGTCTAATCATACAACCAATATCATTAAATCATATGAAGTATATATGGAATTCATCTTTGTGCCCACTATGTTCTTGTTAATTCTTTGTTGAACTCACTTCATGCAATATAATGGTACGCTCAATCTTGATTATCAACCAATATATATATTTTTGTTTGCTCTTTCCATTTAGGGTAAATTCTCCCATCTTGAATGTATCTTTAACTATCATTTTTTCAACACTTTTGCGACCCTTAATACATTATGTACCTAAAGCACGATAAGCTGTGATCACGGTGTAAATTTTCACATAAAAAAACTATTCCTTTATCAGGTATTCTATTCATAGCTGCATATGAATATTCTCATAACACAGAAACAATAAAGATGAGTGGAGAGTTAAGCGCTGCAATGTATTTTCAGGTCCTAGCTGATGTTAGTACACAGGATTGTCAGCAGCAGGAGTGCCGCAAAAATGACAGCTTTTCAGAGCATGCTTTATGGATGGCCTTTTCTGTGACACGATTGTGCAAAATATAAACCACAAGGGACATTGCCTGTGAAACTCCGATACTCCCACATCATATTTTAACCTTTAGCTTGTAGGCCTAGGCTTGTCTTCCAACAATAGTTCCCTCCGTGGTGTGAGCCATGCAATTAATAATGCTCCTGGTATTAATTCACAGGGATCTGCTATGGTAACATACAAAATAATCTCCCTTTAATTAAAATATACATATAATTCATATACTTAATAAATAACCACAAAAGATTAATGGAATTCCCTTAATTCTAGCTGCAATTCTGGATATATGCTTTAAAAGTCTGTCAGCTCATAAAACATTACACGCTGCACAGCACGTTGTGCCACAACCATTTGTTGTTGGCCAATTGACGTCTTGGACCTTTGGACCTATTGTGCTTGGCAAACAGTAAAAAAAAAGATATACTGGTCTTTGGCATTCATCTTCTTACCTTTCCTCCATTCTCCTCCAGTCTCTGCAGTACACTTGTAATCTGCTCCCGCAGCTTTTTGTCCATCATTCTCTTGTATAGCTGAACAAATAAATAATTCAATTATACTCAATTCAAATAAAAGCACTGTCAGACTCAAATGTGCAACAGGATGGTGGTGCTATTCTCCATTGATATCATTGAGCCTGTGGTAAATATCCCAAATACCCATATAATGATCACTGTTGACTTGTAATATTAATTGTATCTGCCCCAGAGGCATCGGAGGTTGAAAGTGAATCTCTACCAGGATTTAAACTTGCAGCCTTCCAATTGTGAGTTAAGGGTTCAAACCAGATGGCGAGATTAAAAGTATTATTAACCAATCGAATATAAAATGGACATGTGCTTTACCATTATGGGGGAAACAACAATACGGTATAATCCTTTTAAATAAAACTGTACACTGTACATCAGGTAATTGTAAAAAAATGCAATTAAATAATTTATGTTGGCTTTGGTTCTGTGCACTCTGCCTACGGCAACATTACAAAATGTGCGTTTCACACTTGAATAAGATTCCATACATAGGAATTATAAAATGCATTGCGATGTCAATTATACGAGCTTTATATATCTGCACGTACATACTGATTCAGTAATGGGACCAAAATATCTGGTAATGTCTTTTAAAGCAGCAAACTAAATTTATTTACTCACAGTTCTGAGCTGATGAAGGAAAATCAGTATTTATTAAAGGCAAGGGCCAGTATCTCAACAGGACAACCACTTTTGACTTCCTATCAAGCAATGCTGACCAGGATGTGAATTCAGTTTTCCTTTAGCTTTATCCCAGCCATATGATAAAAAACACAGCATATTCTTTTGAGTACATTCATTACATACCTTTACAATTATTAACAAATACGTGTCAAATGGAGATGGCTTAAGAAATTTCCACAATCCTTTTCAACAATAATCACCATATTCTAGTGTATGTTAAAGTCACATGTCAACAGCAATGGCAACTTACGCTGGTCAGCAGAAGCTTGAGATGACCATTGATTGCTGGTCCAACGACAGCACTTAGCTGCTCAAGGGCCTCTAGACCCCTGAGAAACACCTCTGGATCAGAGTGAGACTGCCAAAAGAGCACATATTATATAGACCACATCTTACACACTGCTTGCAGTATAAGAGGTTTGATATGCTATTGTTAATCAAACCTCAATTCACTTGTTAATTAGGCCACACCTTGTCCTGTCTTTGTATTAAAATTCAATCCTATAACTTTATAAAAATTCAGCTGCCTGTAATAACCACCCTATCAAACTATTTCAGTGTTGTCTAGAATAAACGCTGTATAGCGCAAACCCTTGACCTCTCATGGGTTTAGTTATCGTGGTTTTGCACCAAATTTATTGAGGTACAATTCGGCGATCGCGCTCCTGTGGCTCGACCATTCGCGGTTGAACGCGAGATTCCTGTACACATTATAACTGCACTGCTTGTGATGATGCTGCCACAAAATGACACACGTGCCATCTTATCTCCATCTTGTCTCCCAAGCGGCCCAGGGCACGGGTTTCCAAGCTCCGGTGAGGAGGCAGTAAGGTTCAGTTGCACGATTAATGTAGTATACAGCACTGTACACATCCATCTACAGTATCCGCACAATACATTTTTTTAATTCTCTGCATTACTGTATAGGTTATATTTAACACTAGAAAATAGTAATCATTTTACATACTTCCCGCTTAATGTTTGGGTTCATGTAGTGTAATAAAAAACAAAAGGGGTGGATATTACGAACCATGAACCAAATCCGAGTTTTCCCATTTACCTTTGAATTTGCGAATCACAGATTTGCCGATTGTGACTATATTCAAGAACATAACCCCCCGCGATGGACAAGGGTTTGCTGCATTGAAAGGAACATTTAAAATATTATAATCAATGGAAAACCATTATGTTCAAGTTAAAATCCACATTATGCTTGAACAAATCACAATCATGAAAAATGTCCTCAATGTATAATTTTAATGTATGAGTTGGCAAACCTATGATTTCATGACAAAGTCAATTATTTTCATTGGTATATCTGTCAAACCACAGATGCCCTGATCAAATTGTTCCACGTCATTATAAAGCAGGACAGGGGCTATATATCATTTTTGACACAATATTACACGCCAACTGCTCAAATCACATCGAATAAGACTAATGAAATGGTAACATTTTCACATTCAACTGTCGCCAAGCATTTTGAAATGTACATAGGCGACTTGATAGTTTACCGTTGTTACATGGGCATAAGGATGGTGATGAAAATAAACAGCGGAGGAATGTTCTGACTGTAGTAAATCAACAAATATTTGAATGCAATTTTTGAAAAGATTGAAAATATGGTGGGCAAATATGGATCATTTTATAGTTGCAAATTGCTTTATTTATAAAATAAACAATAAGAAAAATATATAAATAATGGAAATAAACTCACATTCACTTGTTTACCATTACAAACAGAAAATGATTGTGGATTTTATTACTGAAGAAAATGTGTCGCTATTACAGCTTTAAAATAAACATAAGTGCTTAAATGTATTTTTATTAAAACAGCTCAACATATCATGCCACATCAATGAGTACTGTTATCAAGACATCTAACAGGTCCCAAAAATAACCTGGTAGGGGGCCATCCATTTAGTCCGTACGCATGGAGGGGGGAGGGGGGGTTAACCCAAATGCGTACGCTTGCGTATGGAGGGTCTAGTGACAATGTTTCTACGCATAGGAAAGGGGGGGGGGGGGGGTGAAGCCTCGATAATAATTTGTCTACATTGGCCGTCAAATGAGTTAGATAGTCCGGCGGTGGACTATCTGTTTGCTTAAACACGTTCATATTATTAATCCTTGATCGTTTCTGCGTGGATTAAATATCGGCCGTTGTATAGGATGGGGGGGGGGATGCGTCAAGCGTACTTACGCAGGTGGGGGGGGGTGTAAAAAGTACGCGTGCGTACAGGGAGGGGGGGAGGGGTAAAGTTTTGACAGATTTTTGCGTACATACGAAAGGAATGCCCCCTATCTGCTTGGATCGTTTATATTTTCATTTGACATTGAGTCACTCAATTACATTTGCATATGTCATCCTAATTTTCTGCAATGATTTTTTTTACACTGTATGTAGTTTAATTAGAACAGATTATTCATTATAAATGTGTAGTGAGTTCAACTGAGTCGCAGACTTACTCTTTGGAGGCAACACATTTATTAACACCAACACATGGGGTAACTGCCCCTTAACAGAATAACAACCTATGGTGGTGACCACCAGGCTAACTAAACTAATTACACCGTAACTAGCTACAACGGACCGGACCCCAGCTTGGGTCCAGGTTCAGGTGTTGGAGACTCTGTAGGACGTAGAACGTAGGTTTCTTCAGGATGAACAACAGCGCCGGTCCCTCTGGGGGACCCGGCTTATATCCTCCGTGGCGTGGCTGGCGCCGCCCTTGGCCACGACCACATTCCAGAATCCTCGAGCAGGATCTTGTCCCTGACACGTGACCACCACTAGCCCCCACTTAGGGCCCCTGTGTAGACTTAACCGGTCACGTGTCCTCTGGGGTCAACCAGAGTGCCACGGCCCTTAGTAACCCCATTTCCATGGCCGGCACTCCCACACCCTCTCCTATAGGGGCCGGCACTGCACGCCAAGCGTGGTGCCATCCAGAGCTATCGATCAGCGCTCACCGAGCCCCTCTAGGGCCGGTACTGCACCCACATCCTGGTGGTGTCCGCGATGTCAATACACCGCACGTCGTGCCTCTCTCGGGCCGGCATTACACAGTGACATCCCGCGATGTCACTACATCACTCCCCCCCCCCCCCCCCTTCGTAGCACTCAGCCGTCTTGGCTGTCAACTCCCCCTTTAACAACGAACAAAGTGAATAAAGTGAATAAAACCCCAATGTGTACCTCAACAAATAAATACCCCAACCCACCTATACAATATATACACTATCTACAAATGTACAGTAATGGATGGGAAAGGGGATGGAAGTACAGAACAACAATAAGCAAAAGCAAGGGGGGAGAGATAGAGATTTTTTTTTTAGTAAAACGTGAACGCCCGGAACTCCCTCCAGCACCAGCATCTCCCACCCTCCCTGTGCAACAACACCTGCAACCACATCAACCGGTCCCCTTCAGGGTTTAAACAATTTGGGCGATGTACCCACCGGTACCTGTGGGCAGGGCAGCCAGGCTTTGTCACCTGGAGCCCACTCATGTGCGGAAGAACGGAGACCCCTCAGCCGCTCATCTGCCAATTGGCGCGAATTGGAATATTCTCTGGAAGCCTCACACACTTCTGAAAGCCTCTGAAGGGTAAAGCGCATGGAGTCGGAAGTTTTAGATTTAGCTTTGTTTGGCGCAGCATGTAATTGGACATCAATCGGGGGGTCGTGTTCCCTTCCGTACATTAAAAAAAATGGCGAGTAGCTGGTGGACGTGTGAGGGGCCATTCTATAGGCAGCCAGGACCCCGGGAACATGCAAGTCCCAGTCAAGCTGGGACTCGCTGACCTGATGACTCAACATGGAGGTCAGAGTCCTGTGCAGCCATTCAACCATTCCATCCGTCTGGGGGTGGTTGTTCCCAACAAGTCGCACACCTCCCGCAGTAATTTAGAAGAAAAACGTTTGCCCTGATCGGTCAAAAGACACTGAGAGGCACCCTTGTCCATCACATAGCCATCGAGAAAATGCCTCGGTGATGACCACCGCCGACTGGTTGGGGAGCGGCCAGGCCATCGGCCAGCGTGAGAAATACTCGACGTCGGAGCGACCGGTCAGCCCGATCAATTTGCGAACCCTCACGCACCGACGCACGACGTGAATGAAAGCCGACCGATCGCGATGAGTGAGGTGGATTCAGGGGCCAAGTGTGCGATGTATAGTGGAGTAGAGGACGGTCGGGCGAACGACGGCGGTAGTCCGGGGAGGCGTCGTCGTGGTACGCAACAGCCCGATGAAATATGTCCCGGTAGGCCGCAGTTGTAGCACACGACGAGCCCGCTCCCAGGACGAGGAGAAGTCTTCCGCCATCGTTGTTATTCATCCCATCACGCCATGCCATCCCCTCGCCAAACCGTCTAGGGTCGATGCGCAGGCTTGGACAGGCTGCACGTCTTCAGGTGTATCACACACCTCGCGAGGCGCGGAACATGCCGCCAACCCCTTATGTCGTTGCAAGAGCAAATGCGCCTGGATGCATCTTGCAAACTTGAGGGAAGACAAGTCGTCTTCGCCGACGGCCGGCAGGACAATATGGAGGTCTTTTGCAAACGCCAACAATCTCTCGAGGACCAGCGAGTCGATTCCATCGTGGTCCATCTTGGGAAAGGCATTCTTTGCTAGCGCCAATAGCGTGCTACAGATGGCGAGGGGCGTCTCGGCCTCCCCCCTCCTTTGCGCAGCAAACTTATGGTGCACATTTGACAGTGGTTTGTAGATCGCCATTATTTGAGCAAATGCTTGATGCAGCGTGGCCCTCTGCGATGGCGGAATGGTGAGAAATGCCACCAAGGCATCGTCGTCAAGCGCGGCGGGCAGCGCTCTCAGCGCCTCCGACTCCGTCCACCCCGCCAAGTCACCATTCGTCAAAAATCTGCGCTTGAAGGCCACCCAGTCGCCTCCGGCAGAAGTAAATTCTGTAACAAATGGTAGTCGTCGCCGAAGAGATGGAAAGTCAACAGGCGAACTTGACGCAGACACAATTTTGGCGGGCTTCTCGCTCCGCTCCTCAAGCAAAATGGCGGCCGCACGCGCGGGCTGCGCCATGGAGGTTGAGTTCCGCGTGGCTCCGTTGCTCTCTCCTCCACCGCTGGCTCATCGCGGTAGAGCTCCGCGACGATGGACGCCGCGACTTGGAGGAGTTCTGCGAGGTGGGAGTGTGCTGTGTGGCGCTCCTTCCCTGACGACGGTGAGCTGTCGCGTGGATGGTCAACGTGCTGCTCCGCCGACGGTACCTCACTTCCTTTCTCCGGGACCGCCATCCACGGGGCTGTTTGAGGGAAAAGGTCTTCATCCTCATCGTCCGACGTCCTGGTACGTGGTCTGCTTCGCGTAAACATAACCTAACTCAGCTAGCTTACTAAAAGAACGTTTGGTCACTTCCGACACAAGTTGTAGTGAGTTTAACTGAGTCGCAGACGTACTCTTTGGAGGCAACACATTTATTAACACCAATACACGGGGTAACTACCCCTTAACAGAATAACAACCTATGGTGGTGACCATCAGGCTAACTAAACTAATTACACTGTAACTAGCTACAACGGACCGGACCCCAGCTTGGGTCCAGGTCCACGTGTTGGAGACTCTGTAGGACGTAGAACGTAGAACGTAGGTTTCTTCAGGATGAACAGCGCCGGTCCCTCTGGGGGACCCGGCTTATATCCTCTGTGGCGTGGCTGGCTCCGCCCTTGGCCACAACCACCTTCCAGAATCCTCGAGCAGGATCTCGACCCTGACACGTGACCACCCCTAGCCCGCACTTGGGGCCCCTGTGTAGACTTAATCGGTCACATGTCCTCTGGGGTCAACCAGAGTGCCACGGCCCTTAGTAACCCCATTTCTATGGCCAGCACTCCCACACCCTATCCTGTAGGGGCCAGCACTGCACGCCAAGCGTGGTGCCATCCAGCGCTATCGATCAGTGCTCACCGAGCCCCTCTAGGGCCGGTACTGCACCCACATCCTAGTGGTGTCCGCGATATCAATACACCGCACGCCGTGCCTCTCTCGGGCCGGCATTACACAATGACATCCCGCGATGTCACTACAAATGTAAAGTATCAACATCAAAACATTGGAAATGTTTTTTAATTCAACACAACTTTTGTAATCACACTCTGCTGCAATTCTCAACAAGACAAAACCTTAATTAGGTTTATCACAAGTAATGTTATTAGATGCATAACATTGTTTATCCAGTAAATTACAAAACTACAGCATCCCCACTGAGTTATAAAAAATGTGTGAGAAGTTGTTAAGATGGTATGGATAACATGAAACCTACGAGTTCATAATAAAAAAAAGATTAAAAGCTAGATAATTGCAGACAATGCTGTATTATTTTAAAAATAATTTATCGAACTTATTAACAAAGTGAGCTATGATATCAGATAGTACATGCTATAGTGTCACATTATAAATGCATTTTATATTAGGAGAAACATGTACACGAACAGCGTGACCCATAGGCAATGATGCCAACAATAAAATGCCCTAATGAAATGCATCAGTGCTATGCGTGGTATGATTAATAGGCAACACTTGCAATATTAATGAGATTTTGAATCAATTGCACCATTACATTACCCATTCCCGTCATATCCAATTAACCAGCAAAAACGACAGGTGAAAACCCGTAATATTACCATAAACCCGATAAGAAGGGTTAAGGGTTTACTAAACTGGTATAGCAATGCTTGGGATTTAATGAGGCAAAGAACAGGAGGTGACAACTATATCAAGAATTAAATACAATATATTTCCACATGTTTCATAAAATATTGCACACAGTGTTATATTGAAATTAATCATTTGAATTAATAGCTCCAACAAATTTTTATATGCTCAAATAATGCAGCATCCCTAAGCAGTGGGGGGGGGGGGGGTGGGGGGGAAATGCCCAACAGTGTGTCTCAGTGTGTTTATTTACAGGGGACATTGGTTGCAGTGATTTCTCTCTGCACTGCAATCCTGGCAAATATGGGCTTGATTCCCAACCACGGGTAACAGCAGGGGAAAGTGGTAACTGAACCAGTCCTGAGCCTCTCCTTACTTGATTTATCCCTAAATAGTTACAAGATACATTGGCCTGACACTGCTGATGAGACTGTTTTTCGACGCGGTTCCAGTTTTATCGTGCTGAATCGATGCTGCTGGAATTGTGCACATCCATAAGACCATGGGGCCGATGAGTTGTGTTAAAAATACTATAATTTTTTGTGGCGAGGGAAATATGTGCAGGAGGCATGTTGTATGCTCATCTATTTACTATTTATGTTCTCCACAATGACCCAAATGATTGTTAAGCATTGTGTACAAGTCAACACTGGGAAGCAGTGTGGCATGATGGTGGCCCATTTTGCGCTGTCTGCCTCAACAAGTAATCAATATGAACATCATTGACCCTAGTTGTATTGCGGACATAACAAGTGGCATTCACAAATCCCAAAAAATTTATATCATGGGATTAACTCAGTGAAGATATAGATATTTATAAATCTAAATAAATGTAGAGGTATAGACATTTTATGTCATCATCTGCCATCATCTATCCACTGCTGGATGAAATCATCCCTAAGCAATCGTCATTTCTCATGTTATGTTTTGCACCAATCCATATAGCTCTGGCGCACAAGCTGATCTCATCACTCCATCTGGGCGAATGTATATGTATAATGGTTTCCGACAAATGTAGAATTATTATTTAGTTTAAACAAAGATGCATGTTCTGTGTACAGACTTATGGCTCACTACTGCTTATAAGAAATAACATATGTAATGTGCATATAAAATGATTGTACAATAAACATGAATTCAAGCCATTTGATAGAATAATATATTCTGGCCACCGTGCAGCTCAGCATATTTGGAAAGGTCACAAATCTGTCTTTCCCACAAACTCTTCTAAAAAATGTTATCAGGTGTGCACCACCATGCCCAGCCAAAGTCTGCAATATTCTTTTAAGTCCATATTCACATGTGTTTATTTTTTAGGAATTATCTCTGATATAGTTTAAGCTCATATTCTTGATTATCTTCAAAATTATCACCCATTATTTATTTAAAACGAAGGATTGTTTTTTTACTTAAATTACTTCTCACTGCACAAAAAATTTGATGTGCATAATTTTTACAAAGACATGGTTATAACAACGAGGGAGCTTAGGTCTCACCAGTGCAGATTTGAGGATGGGGGCAAGCCGAGGCAGTAATGGCAGGGCTTTCTCATCAGACCCTTGTGTCTGCAGCAGCTCCCGAAAGCCCTCTCTGGAAACGAATGTGTATGGGTGACATGTCTCTCGCAAGCCCTGCGGGAAGAAAAAAACCACAGTGTTAAAATTACTGACATACTCACCAATATCGCCAAATGCCACTGTTGATCACAGTCAACATATTAATTGAATGACATATTGGTTTATTTATGAAAGCTCTGTGTTTATTTGTACACAGTATATTATTGTATATGGATCTCAGCAATTAGTTGTGGTTATTATAAAAAAATGTTAAGTGTAATTAATCTATAAAACATTAATATATTTACAACCCATTAGATGCTGAAAACATGCTACTCTGCTCCCATTAAAGACTCTTAAGCATGACAGCGGATGCGAGAATTTTCATAAATAATGGCATTGTTGAGCAATAACCCATAGGTGTCTAAGAGGCATAGATGTATTTAAAATTGCTGTCTGAGCTAATAAGCTCATTTTTGTGGACACATTAACTTAAATGCAGAATATATTAGCATATAAAAGTGTCATATCAAAGCTTCATGTTAAAATAGAATGGCAATTGGGTAGTATTGCACATGCTACATTATTGATAATAAATGTATATACATATTTGTTTTAAACATGACTTACAGAGAGGGAAAAAAGTATTTGATCCCCTGCTGATTTTGTATGTTTGCCCACTGAAAAATAAATGATCAGTCTATAATTATAATAGTAGGTTTATTTGAACAGTGAGAGACAGAATAACATCAACAAAATCCAGAAAAACGGATGTCAAAAATGTTATAAGTTGATTTGCATTTTAATGAGGGAAATAAGTATTTGACCCCCTCTCAATCAGAAAGATTTCTGGCTCCCAGGTGTCTTTTATACAGGTAACGAGCTGAGATTAGGAGCACTCCTTTTAAGAGTGTGCTCCTAATCTCAGCTCGTGTATAAAAGACACCTATTCACAAAACAATCAGTCAATCATATTCCTAACTCTCCACAATGGCCAAGACCAAAGAGCTCTCCAAGGATGTCAGGGACAATATTGTAGGCCTACACAAGGCTGGAATGGGCTACAAGACCATCGCCAAGCAGCTTGGCGATAAGGTGATAACAGTTGGTGCGATTATTCGCAAATGGAAGAAACACAAAAGAACTGTCAATCTCTCTCGGCATGGGGCTCCATGCAAGATCTCACCTCGTGGAGTTGCAATGATCATGAGAACGGTGAGGAATCAGCCCAAAACTACACGGGAGGATCTTGTCAATGGTCTCAAGGCCACTGGGACCATAGTCACGAAGAAAACAGTTGGTAACACACTACCCCGTGAAGGACTGAAATCCTGCAGCGCCCACAAGGTCCCCCTGCTCAAGAAAGCACATATACATGCCCGTCTGAAGTTTGCCAATGAACATCTGAATGATTCAGAGGACAACTGGGTGAAAGTGTTGTGGTCAGATGAGACCAAAATGGAGCTCTTTGGCATCAACTCAACTCACCATGTTTGGAGGAGGAATGCTGCCTATGACCCCAAGAACACCATCCCCACCATCAAACATGGAGGTGGAAACATTATGCTTTGGGGGTGTTTTTCTGCTAAGGGGACAGGACAACTTCACCGCATCAAAGGGACGATGGACGGGGCCATGTACCGTCATATCTTTGGTGAGAACCTCCTTCCCTCAGCCAGGGCATTGAAAATGGGCCGTGGATGGGTATTCCAGCATGACAATGACCCAAAACACACGGCCAAGGCAACAAAGGAGTGGCTCAAGAAGAAGAACATTAAGGTCCTGGAGTGGCCTAGCCAGTCTCCAGACCTTAATACCATAGAAAATCTGTGGAGGGAGCTGAAGGTTCGAGTTGCCAAACGTCAGCCTCGAAACCTTAATGACTTGGAGAAGATCTGCAAAGAGGAGTGGGACAAAATCCCTACTGAGATGTGTGAAACCTGCTGGCCAACTGCAAGAAACGTCTGACCTCTGTGATTGCCAACAAGGGTTTTGATACCAATTACTAAGTCATGTTTTGCAAAGGGGTCAAATATTTATTTCCCTCATTAAAATGCAAATCAATTCATAACATTTTTGACATGCGTTTTTCTGGATTTTGTTGTTGTTAGTCTGTCTCTCACTGTTCAAATACACCTACCATTAAAATTATAGACTGATCATTTCTTCGTCAGTGGGCAAACATACAAAATCAGCAGGGGATCAAATACTTTTTTCCCTTACTGTACCTGCTTCAGCACTTGAGTCAAGTGCTATTAGCGATCACCTATGAAGGCCAACATAGCACATGAGGGGTGATGTGGCCTGAACCAAGGGCAGCCAACCGTCTTTGTCTCCCCAGTTACTCATTTAAGACTGTCAAGTTATATATAGAAAACAAAAAGAAACATAAGGTTTTTCAAAGATGATAAGTAAAATCAAATGAATCCATTAAGATAAAAAGTTAACCTTATCTTATAGTATAATTTAGCCAACTCTCTATATGCTACCTATGCAACATAGTAACTAATAAAGGTTCTTACATATTATACGTATTATTTTTAAAACAAGCGAGTGCATTTTTACTTTAAATTTTCTGCTTGCAAAGCTTTAGTTCTAATTTAATAAATATAAAAAACGACAATAACTTTACTGTGTATATTAACATTCATATATTCTTCAGTTACCAATTTGTACATTTTCGCCTGAGTATTAATTAAGCCCCATTTTTAGTCTATTCTATTCCAGTGTTTATAATGCTATTGTCTTCCGATGGTTGCATATAATGTGCACGGTATTTTCTCAAGCTTTATTCGAATTACTCACCTCTGCCAAGGTTATGAGAAGTGGATCAAATGGAATATCTTCTGGCGGAGTGTCCCAATGCAGCTTATGTTTTACTGAGCCATGCACCAACCTATCAGACAGCAATTACAACACACAACAGTGAAAGCAAAACTAGTGCTGTGCGCTCAACAATTTTCGAAACGAGACATAATTTTAAATAAACATGCCTGAAATAAAGAGTAATATTCTTGTTTGTGATAATAATGTTACATGTTAAACTTATCTAGAATTAAATTATGTATGAGTTAAAGAAGCTGCCAATTAATTCACTCATAAAAATAAGATCATTAAAGCTAACAAGCTGAGGTATTCAAACATTACATCTATACTCTACATATTTCACATATGCTTACAATGTAAAACATATTTTCACTAAATGTTTATAAATATTAGACTATGTAATTGTCTTACATAATTTATATTCGTACATTTTAATAAACAGCGAAATGTTTGTATAATATTAACATTACAAGTGACATTTAGGTGCATCTGGTTCTCACCATCATACTGTGTAGTGATTGTTGTATATAATGATACGAATAATAGCCAAAGCGACTCTGAGTTCATCTTTTTAAAATGAATGCAAGCTGACTGTTTAAACTCTTAAATACACTGGCTACATAGCACTGGCACTAGGTGTGTGTTTATGTGTGATGCAATTTCTAACACAAAGACATGCCCTGCAGGAAAGCGTGCAAACGAAATGAGGCAATGTTATCCATCCCAGTGTGACCTCTGTGCTAACTCAAGTCTACAAGTTTCTATATTGCAATGGAATGTAACACTTCTACCTCAAGCTTGCACTGACATTACATCTTCATGTGTGGCCGTGTGGGTTATATAGTATGGGAGGCTTTTTCCTCCTACTTCGTAATTCCATGGAAAAATCATTACTCTATGTTGACCCAAAAATCGCAAACAACCCACGTGGTCAAGTACCTGCATGGAATTCCAGCTTTGGCATAGATGGTAGCAAATGCAGAAATCGGTCTAGTTCTATCACTGAACTGTAAAATAACACATGTAAACAACAGCATGATCACGTGAGATTAATGAAAAAGATGTAACGTTTAAAATGTACACAGTACTGAAAAGGCGAAAAAAATCGTAAAGGAAACATGACAGACAATTAAACCTAACTACCGAGAATGTGAAGCATTAGCATTTATGTATTTTTCTTCTACGCTCGAAATTTAGCATTGCCATTAGCCAGTTGCTAGCAGGTGATGAAACACCTTTGAATAACAAAATTCAATGAAACCAAGTGAGTTACTCAACAAAACTGGACGATATAAACACGCAATATTTTATTGTTGTGTTGAGAAACGTGCCACGCAGTTGGGGTAAAAATACCCATAAGCAAACATAAACGAAGAAAGAGTGCATATTTTTGTTCCTTTGTAGGTGCATCTTGTTCCAGGGAAATTACAATACTGTAATTCAAATTTAAAAGAAGATGGAACATAAACACCAACAACACTGACGGAGGAAAAAATAAACCCATAAGCAAACATAAACGAAGATTCATGGCAACATGAGAAACAATTAAACATAACTTTTGTGAAGCATTAAAAGTAACATTTTCTAATTATATTTCAGCAAAAAATATACATGAATAGAATAAGAATTATCTTGTATTCATGGTTAAAACTAACAGATGAAGTTACTTAATCATACCCTTTGGATCTTAAAAGTGCATGAGGATTGAGGAGTCATGAAGAGCGCGTGAAATGAAAATGGTTACGTGTCTAAATGTCATTTAAGTATTTAAAAGGGCATAACAATTTGTACTGAACTTAGTCAGATTATATGCATTTGTTGTATTCATATTCTGGCACCTTATGATATGAAACAAACCTTTATTTTATTCGGCAAATTATTGCGTTGGAAGAATGCAGGGCAAATTTAAGACAAAAACATGCACAGCTTATAGTAATAGGTATATTAAAATAACGGTTTTTTTTTGTTGAAAACAGGGAAAAACACACATTTGAGGGGAAAACAATCAAAGCTCCTCACAGATTGATTCAGGAATTCATTTCGTCTCATTACATCTTGTCAGTTTAACATGTAGGCTTTTACAAGTATAACGTTTTACGAGTACGTTTCGCCAGTAATTACAACTAGCATCATCAGGCAGACAGTCAGAGTTGTAATTACTGTTGTAATTACTGTTGTAATTACTAGCGAAACGTCTTACTTTCCAACACACCGGTGTGCTGAACTAGTAGCGAATTGGCATGTTTTGTTGACGTGACAAACCATACTAATTGTCTGTGTCGGGTGGTGGCAGGTTTCACGACACATTTATATTTACGCGATATAACCCAAAAACCTCTATTATGGGTAACATCTTGTCACCACCTCAGGTCAGCAGGCTTGGCAATCTAACACATCACCATGCCCACCTATTATTTGCTTGTGGCTGAAGGCAGATTTCAGTATTAACCAAGTCTGCAAACTTGATTTGAGCTTTCGTGACTGTAGGAATCCATACTCTTTGGTTCTTTAGGTTAAGTCACGTAGATAGAAAATTAAATGATTACGACGCTTCGATTGCAACACAAGCAGCCGTCATCAGGTGAGAACTGCAGTTCTCCTGCTGTGTTTATTTCACCTGATGACGGTTGCTTGTGTTGCGATCGAAACGTCGTGATCTATTATTTTCTATCTACGTGACTTTACCGAAAGAACCAAAGAGTACAAGTCTACAAAGTTATAAAGACAAATGTATGAAACAATGCTAAATGCAATAAGATATATCATACATTTTGCAGTGGTGTGGTTTGCATTCTACAATATAAGCATATTTTGTAGCTCAACCATTTTTATTAAGTCAGTCAACATTACACGAGATGAACATTTCACTTGTTGAAATAACACAAGCGATGCTGTGTCTGTGCTGCCAAGCATTGTGGCCTTACATCTGAATGGAGTGTTTGAATATTAAACGCACAACAGACTGAACAAGGTGGTGGAGGGGGGAGTTTTAATGGCAAAACTATTTTTTAACCTAAAAATGTACATGCTGGTCAAAAAAGGCCAAACGCTCAGTTACTGTATAAGAGAATATGTCAGAATGAGTAAAGTCATTAAAAGCAGGGCTTTGATTGATTGAAGTATGGTGTGCATGAGCATAGTCCCATCCGTGTCATATACTGCATATTTTAATCTTATTTAAGAATATAAAAAGAGGTTGGCTGGGTAACTAAGTAACTACTTTATGCTGGAAGACACAGCAGGTACAGGATATTAAAGGTAATGAAAGTGGCAAACACTCACCGGATCAATGGTTTTAGGATTCAGCCGAGCACTGGGCCTGGGTTTTAACACCACCCTGCTTTGCGCTCCAGCAGATTCTGTGGTATCCGGCTTCCTTTTGGTCGACACCACCTTGGATTTGCTCGCGGCTGCTGATGTCATTCTACAGCTCGACAGCTGACATAAATCAAAGTAAAATTATCAAAACGACTCAAATAAAAGTACAAATAGTGAGATATGTAAAAAAAACATGCCACTGCAAGGAAGAGGATCCCTCCCTTAAGAAGCATTTGCTTCCTTGATCTTCACCCTGGCCAAATGGGTTGGAAGAGGTGAAGGCAACCACGCTTCTGACCACCTTTGGTAAATCACCCATCGACCTCATGGATTGTAAATATATTTTACTCCTAGGTAGAAGCAAGGGGTGAATTAAGTAAATATTTCCAAAGCACTCAGGAGTTTCATCCAGCAAGTGGATTGATCATCGATGATTTTGAAAGCATCAGCTATCTAATGGTAATCGACCCTGGTAGACCTTGACTGGTGTGCTAGCATTCACATTGCATTGGATACATTTAAAAGCAAACAATGCATTCTCTATGCATGCTCTTCAGTTTCAAATTGCTTGTCACAGCATTAACATGTTTTTTAGGGGGATTTACAATTTTTGGAAAACAATTACTATTTTACACCAATCATAAAATGGCAATGAGCACTGGATAGCAATTAAATAGTGGCAAGTACTTATTATCATGCAAGTTTCATTTAAAATATATGTATTTCACGAAGTGTTCATGTTAGGTCATACATATACCACAAATATATTCTCAGAGTGTACTAGATGTCCAAACTAATGGCAATAAGTTGAACAAATGTGGTGATGCTGCACTGACAGTGGTGCACAGGCACACATAACAATAACAAAACTCAACACATTAGTCGATAACACTAACGTAATATTATAAGCAATGACGTTTTAGGCAATGACCCTTCCCCACAGCACAAAGAGATGCTAGAGGAAGAGCTGCTTTGTGTTTGGGACATCAGCCAGAAATCTTACCTATAAAAGGCATTTTTTGTCTGTCTGTCCGTCCATCTGTGTGTGTGTTCATACACTTGCAAAATATATATTTTTTTAATTCCAGGAATCACGCCGTAAGCCCCGCGGTGGGTAAGCGCTAATCAATTTTCACGTCCCTAAACTTTTAATTAGTAAAATGAGCGATTTAGTGAGATTTTTTATGTAATTATTTATTGCACGCGCTCGCCCATACCAACTCACACGCCTTCAGTGGGGGGGACGGCCCCTGCCAAGTCGCACGCGTTCGGTGGGGGTGAGGGGGAAATTTTATTTTGCGTAAAAAATGCTATTAAAAAAACACTGAGGTAAATTATTCACGGTGTGATGTCCTCTCCCCCCTCACCCCGATGCATGCAGTTACTACTATAGAGTCCGTACATATTAATATTATAGCACTTCGATAGTATTATTGTAGCGCGGGTGGGGGGATGGTGGGGAGGTGACGGCCCAGCCCCCAGCCTGCCAAGGTGCCACTTCGGCCGGCTGGGCAATCTAGGCGAAGCCGGAGACTCTGCACGGGACTAGGCCTCACCACGGCAATGTTAAGTACAATTTTCTTGCTTCTTTCGCTAAACTCACGTTGATAGAAACTTTTTATTTAAATAAATACCTTGCAAATAATACATTAATAATTTTGTGTGCAGACAACTCATTTATATTCCTTGCTTCTTTTGATAAACTCATGTACATAGAAACCTATTAATTTAATAATTACCTTGGAAATATTACAATATTTTTGTTTGTGTGTTGACAACTAATATTTCTAAATTTACTTGGTATTTATTTATATTTTATTATTGTGTCTAAGTCCTTGTGTGCGTGTGTGCGTGTGAGTCAATGTGCGTGTCTGGGACGATGTGAGTGTGTGTGTACATCCGTGTGTGTGCATAAGTCCATATGTGCGTGTGTGTGCAAAAAAAAAAGTTTGCAAATATTAAATTAATATTGTTTGTGTGTAGACAACTGATATTTCTAAATGCGGTTGCTAAATATTCAAATATTATTGTGTCTCTAAGTCCATGTGTGCATGTGAGTCCATGTGCGTGTCTGCGTCGATGCGTGTGTGTAAGTCGATTTATCTGCGTGTCTGAGTCGATGTGTGTGTGTGAGAGGCGATGTGTATGTGTGCGAGAGTCGCTATGTGTGTTTGTAAGTCGATGTGTGTGTGTGGATCGATGTGTGTGTGTAAGTCAATGTGTGTGAGTCGATGTGTGTGTGTGTGAGTCATGGGGAGCGAGAGTGTAGCGGTTAGCGTGCTGCGCTATGAACCCGGTGATCCGGGTTCGATTCCCGCTCACGGCCAACACCAGTGACGATTATCTGAACCGGTCCTGGGCCTCCCATAGGTCGACTCAGCCTCAAATAAGTACCTGGTGCAGTGTGTAAACATCGCCACTGGGGAGACAAAGGCGGTCGAGCATGGTCCTGGCCACCCACCCCCTCGTGTACCGTTCCGGCCTTCATAGGTGCTCGCTAAAAGCACTTGCCCCTACAGTCTGTCAAGGCCAGACGGGGGATCTTTTTTTCGTGTGTGAGTCGATGTGTGTGTGTGTGAGTCGATGTGTGTTTGTAAGTCGATATGTATGTGTCAGTCGATGTGTATGTTAGTCAATGTGTGTGCGTGGTGTGTGTGTGTAGACAAATAATTTTTAAAATTAAGTTAGTACATTTTAAAATAATAGTGTGTGTCTAAGTCCATGTGTGTGTGTGAGTCGATGTGCGTGTTTGCTCGATGTGTGTGTGTTTAAGTCGATGTGTCTGTGTGTGTGAATCGATGTGTGTGCGAGTCGATGTGTGTGTGTGAGTCGATGTGTGTGCGAGTCGATGTGTGTGTGTGAGTCGATGTGTGTGAACGTCCGTGTGTGTTTGTGTGTGTGCAAGTCTATGTGTGTGTGTGGGTCTATGTGTGTGTGTAAGTCGATGTGTGTGTGTGAGTCGCTGTGTGTGCGTGTGTGTGTGCAAGTCGATGTGTGTGTGGGTCGATGTATGTGTGTGTGTAAGTCCATGTGTTTGTGTGTGAGTCCATATGTGTGTCTATCTCAAGTCGGTGTGTGTGTGAGTCGCTGTGTGTGCAAGTCGATGTGTATGTCTGGGTCGATGTATGTGTGTAAGTCGATGTGTGTGTGTCTGTAAGTCGATCACAAATCCCTATTTAACTCCATCCAAAAAGTAACCTGCAGCGCCACACCTATTACCATCATTAAAGAACGGTGATCAAATCTCCGACCCCCAGGAACAGGTTTGCAGATTTGCTAAGCATTTCTGTGAGGTCCTGGGAGAGGGGAAATCTCTCAGCCTGGAAAACATCATGGGACAAAGTGGGGATGACCCTGCTGAGGCTGCGGTGCCTCAAATATTGGAGGAGAAAGTCACCCCCTGTGAGTGGCTGGCTGAGGTGCCATCTGTTGAGGAAGTACTGAAGGCGATCCAGAGTATGAGACCAGGAAAGGCACCGGGCAGAGATGATCTCCCAAGCGAAATGCTGAGGGAGGGTGGCGTTTGTGCGCAGACTGCCCTACATGACATCATAACAACAGCCTGGACCACTGGACGGGTTTAAGAAGGGGGACCGCACAGACTGTAACTACCGGGGCATCTCACTCCTCAGTGTGCCGGAAAAAGTCCTGGCAAGGATTATTCAACATCGCCTTGCTAGGCACACTGAGGAGAGGCTTGCGGAGCCCCAATGCGGTTTCAGGAAAGGGCGATCCTGCACAGATGCCATATTTTCTGTCTGTCTGCTACAGCAGAGGTGTAGGGAATTCCAACAAGACCGACATCTCTGCTTTATTAACCTGGTCAAGGCCTATAATACCATCAGTAGGCCTGGGCTCTGGGTTGTTCTTCGTGCTTTCGGAGTCCCTGACCATCTGCTCACGCTCATTAAGGATCTTCATGATGGTGAGCGGGCCCGGGTAAAACTGCGTGGCTGGGAGTCAGAGCCATATCCTGTACACCTTGGGGTGCCACAGGGATGTCCTCTGGCTCCCACATTATTTAACATCTATTTTGACCACGTGGTTCGTGAAGCCTTCAATATCTGTACCGTAAGAATTTCCATTTGGTACAGATATAATGGAAGGCTGATCGATGCGGTCAAGGGATGGCTCCCTATCGCTCAACCACGTTATGTATGCCGATGATCTGGTAATTGCTGCTCACTCAGAGGAGGATTTGGAGGCGCTGCTGCTGAACCTGGAGCTTGCCACCAAGAGGTAGGGCCTTACCGTCAGCCCCACCAAAACTAAGCACCTGCCTAGGTATTTTGTACCATCGGACACTGCACCCCCACAACTCCCAATTGGTGATAGGGCAGTTGTGGAGATAGTTGATAATTTTCTATACCTTGGCAGTGTGCTCATGACCGGCTCCGGTTTAACAGCAGAGGTCTCACTCCGAATCAGTCGAGCGGCATTATCTTTTCATCGGTTGCGTAACGCTGTGTGGAAGCTACCTGGTCTATCACTCCGCACGAAGCTTCAGGTCTTCTCGGCCAGTCATTCCCTCCCTTCTCTACGCTTGCGAAACGTGGACCCCCGTAATGGAACATCTTCGCCGGTTATAAACATTTAGGCTGGCCTGCCTACGATCCATCCTGGGTTTAACCAGGCTGGATTGTGTGAGGAGCTCACAAATCCTTGAAAGATGTGGACAAAGTCCCATCGATGAGCTCCTCCGGCAAGCAAGGCTGCGTTGGCTGGGTCATGTAGCACGCATGCCCAGCCACCGCATGCCTAAACAGCTTTTGTTTGGCCGGATCGAGGGGGCTAAACGGGCGCAGCACGGACTCGAGAAGAGATGGAGTGGACTTGCCGATGACTGGTACCAGAGGTGTCAAGATCGGCCTCTTTGGAGGAGGCTCGTCAAAGACGCTACTGGGCAGTTGGAGGCAGTCACCCTCCAACAACAATGGAGAGCGGAGGAGCAACGCTAAAAACGAGCGGAGCGCCGGGTGGCTAAAGCACAGCAAGTTGGCACAGTAGGGGGCACAGGTGGTGCATCAGCCAGTTGTCTCAGTCAGTCGATCTGTTGCATCTGGGTCTGCCCCGTGGCCAGCGGGCGTTCGACACTTCACGTGGCCTCAAGGTGCACATGGCCTGGCACAAGCGTCGTGGTGACGTCACCGCCACTTAGTGGTGAATGGCGGTTGTTGTTGTACGTCGATATGTGTGTGTAACTCCATGTGTGTGTATCTAAAGTCGATATCTGTGTGTGTGAGTCCATATGTGTAAGTCGATGTATGTGTCTGTCTTTTTCCCCCAGGCAATGCCGGGTACTTCCCGCTAGTTATTATATACTGTTTTAAAGTAATTTGTATACCTTTCCTATACTTGCACTCCTATCATGTCTATTGACCTGTCCCAACTGGAAATCTGTGAAAAAGAGCTTTATAGCTCAACGTATTCCTCCAGTATAAATATTCTGATTCTGATAAGGCAGTGTTATTGACCTATACAATACATTGTATTCTGAAATTGCATTGTACAGAAGTACTCTTTTCTGTGACTCTGTTACCCACGATTTCTACTATCTGCGGTATCTATCGGGTCTGCAAAAAACTCATTATCTGTGCCCCTAATATTCCCATTAGCCACAATTATCCTCGTTTTCCTCATCCCGCATTGCGGAAGGGCTTCCCATTATTCGTTTGCAGAAAAAGGAGTCGTGGTACCAACTAATTCTATTAACTGTTTGTGATCCAAAGAGTGTGGGCCGGCCCTTTTTTCACTTTATGTATTGATGACTGGGAAACGTGACTTTTATTTTACTTGATTAATTTTCACAGATAAGGGGAGTAAATTTGCAAATAACATCGCAGCTAGGAGAAAATAACTCTACATACTCGTCAATAACACTGCCTTAAAAAATAAGTTTTTACAGCAATATGATCTAATGTTCATCCCCACATCAGCCAGGATATGAGCTGATTCTTTTTTTTGCAAAAGACAAGGCCTTTAGGAAGAAATGCTCTGCCCAGCACTCAAAATGAAAACTGTACTTGACTCTACATAATCATTGGCGTCGTCATGGAGAATATAAATAACAAATTAGCAGATATCTCCTTAAAATATCCATCTCCACATGAGTACAAATATCGTTTAACACAACCCATCAACCGCAGCATATGGCCTTCTGGTGGGGTGCATCATTTTAGCAGCAATGAATCAAGAGAAGTTAACTCTGGACTGGTTTTGACACAGTATCTGCATCTGCAAAGCCATATTTGCTTGAATCAACGCTGGTGAACTACGAGACGCTTATAGGCAAGGGCCCTCTCGTTAGCATATTATAATCCGAGAAATAAGAAAAAGGTTGCACATTGAAGAATACCTGATGCAGGCCGTGGTGAGAAGGAAACTGGCACTACAGTATTTTGGCACATGTAGGATGGACAACAAGAACATTAGAGTGCGTTTTTCGGTCAAATGGAAGGGGAAAGTGAGGAAGACCTAAAAGAGAATGTATTGACGATGACATCACAATAGATCTGTGCCAGAAAGATGTGGCCACTACTTGAGCATATTGACACTACAAGACAGGGAGAAAAGTGGAAATAAATGACGCAATGTGCAATGGACACCTTAGAGGCTTATCTGCTGCATGTATCGTCATGGTGATGATGGTGGTGATGATCTTAGTTCAAACAAATGCGGATTACAAAGTCAGTTTCCTGGCCGGGCGTTACGTTGGCTACGCAACCTCGGTTGTGGCGGCCGCTACAACGTCAATGATTATAATAATTTAAAAAGTGCCCTTGAACGATCGTTCTCAGAGCGCTGAAAGCTGCCGACACTGGTGAGACTAGGCCCTAAAGAAGGCTGCTGTCTCTGGTGTAGGGCAATCAGTTTAAAATACAATGCCATACATTACGCTATGGGACACAATTTTTGTCCCTGGGTACTAAGTGTTATTTTTTTATTGCTTATACGTAAAAAATATATAAAATGGCTATTATTCCCCACAAACTCAAGACTTAATGTGAACGAAAGACACAAATGCACACGCTTTCTCATTGAAAATAGGTAAATTTCAAAATAGCACTGTCCTGATCACAAAAGCAAAGTTTGTGGAGAACAATAGCCATTTTCTGTACTTATTTCCTAATTGCATAAGCAATTGCATAAGCAATTAGGAAATAACACTACCCAGGAACAAACAAAAAATGTCTTCCACAGTGCAGTTTGTACGCGTGATTAATGCAGCACTTGATTCCTTGCGGAAGGTTTCTATTTTGGTGTTTGAACATCTCAACACGTCTTGTTTTATTGGCAGAAAGGGTAAAAACCCATTCATATTCTTAGGTTTTTTCGGTAAAGTCACGTAGGTAAAACATCAAAATTAATAAAAATAAAATAAAGATCACGATGTTTTACCTACGTGACTTTACCGAAAAACCTAAGAATATGAATCCTTGCAGTCACGAAAGCTTCAAATCTAGAATTAAAAACCCATTGTTATTTTTTCATTCTTTGATACTGCCAAAAAGGTAACATTTTTCCGGCATCACCTTTAACACTGTACACAGACTACCGTACAGTCATGGGGGAACCATGTGGTGACATAACGCTGCTCCACATTTGCATCTTAACCTAGTTGGGGTTATTTTGTTGTTGTGACACAACATGAATTATGCAACGATAACAAAAAGTAGCTAACAAGCTTAGGCCTAGTGTGCAGAGAGAGTGCAAACAACACCACAAAGACAAATACCCCCCCATGTAGCCTTAGGGGCCGTCCATAAATGACGTCACTCGATTTTGGACGATTTTTTTACCCCCCCCCCCCGAGTCAGACCCCCCCTCAAATATGACGTCACAAAGCTCTGCCCCCCCCCCAAAATAAACTTGCTTCAAATAGTTTTAAACTATTGTCATTGTAGTGCGTATTTAATGTGGCGCTGCACTCTGATGTTGTAGGAGAAAACATGTATTAAAAAGTCTATTTAATTAAGTAGAACGCGTTGTCTATATTTATTTAAAGTTGCGCATTTTGATGTGACGTCACATTTCTCACACCCCCTCCCTCGTCACACATCGTCACAAATATCTGACCCCCCCCCCAGGTGCGTGACGTCATTTATGGACGCCCCCTTAACAATACTGTGGGGTCAGGCGCTGTGAGAGAGTCTATGAAGGCCGGCACGGCGCACGAGAGAGGGTGGTGTGGCCGCCACCACCACGCCCGACCGCCTTTGTCTCCCCAGCGGCGATGTTTACTACACACGGCGCCCAGCTACTCGCTTTGATGCTGAGTCGACCTAGGGGGAGGCCCAGGGACCGGTTCAGATGATTCGTCACCGATGTTTGGGTGGCCGCGAGCGAGAATCCAACTCGGACGTAGCCCGGGCCCGTAACGCGGCGCAATGACCCCCGCCAACACCCGCACGCATTTAATTCTAAAACACTCTACACAAGCTGACACAATCCGCAAGCACACAAACTCACCGTGTGTCATGAGACTTGAAAATTAATTGAATGCGGTGGAGAGGGAGAGAGAGAAAATAAACGATGCGAGTGTGAGGAGGAGGCCTTAACGTTGTTGTCGGTGGCGGGGTTTGTTGACCCCCTCCCCCTCTCTGACCCCCACCGGTTGCTGGGCAACGGGCGCCGTAAAGGAACTGGGTACAATTCTAGATTTGAAGCTTTCGTGACTGCAAGGATTCATATACTCTTAGGTTTTTTTTCGGTAAAGTCACGTAGGTATGAATAAAAATACAAAATACAAATAATAGTAATAATAATTATTATAATAGTAATAATATTTTTTATTTTTATTATTTTAATTATTATTTCTATTATTTTTATTTTTTAATAATTCTATTATTTTTTTATTTTTACTTACGTGACTTTACCGAAAAAAACCTAAGAGTAGGACTCGGTACAAACTCGCCGGGTTTTCCGAATCTGGATTCAGAAATTCTAAACTCAACTCAACTGGAGTAATCCGATGAGCTGTAAAGTGGCTTTTGGGGGGGGTGGGGGTTCTCTCTCACAGATGGTTCAGCAACTTGCGGTTCTTGAAATATTGGAGGGGGGGAGAGGAGGAGGGGGAGTTGTGTTTGTGTTTACCGAATTCGAACCAAAAAAATGTCTCTTCTTGTTATTTTGTTTGCCAACCGCTGACCATGGGAGTCCAGTTTACAATGGGAGTCCAGTTTACCATGGTAGTTCGGTTTACGATGGGATTCAATTTTGCCGTGGGAGTCCAGTTTTCTATGGGAGTCCAGTTTACCATTTCGAGTCCGGTTTACCATGGGAGTCCAGTTTACCATATGAAGTCCGGTTTATCATGGGAGTCCAGTTTACCATGGGAGTTCGGTTTACGATGGGATTCCATTTTGCCATGGGAGTCCAGTTTTCCATGGGAGTCTAGTTTACCATATGGAGTCCGGTTTACCATGGGAGGCCAGTTTACCATGGGAGTTCGGTTTACGATGGGATTCCATTTTGCCATGGGAGTCCAGTTTTCCATGGGAGTCCAGTTTACCATATGGAGTCTGGTTTCCCATGGGAGTCCAGTTTACCATGGGAATTCGGTTTACGATGGGATTCCATTTTGCCATGGGAGTCCAGTTTACCATATCGAGTCCGGTTTCCCATGGGATTCCATTTTACCATGGGAGTCCAGTTTACCATATGGAGTCTGGTTTCCCATGGGAGTCCAGTTTACCATGGGAGTTCGGTTTACGATGGGATTCCATTTTGTCATGGGAGTCCAGTTTACCATATCGAGTCCGGTTTCCCATGGGATTCCATTTTACCATGGGAGTCCAGTTTACCATATGGAGTCCGGGTTACCATGGGAGTCAAGTTTACCATGAGCAGGAGTCGGCAACATTCATCTCTGCAGCAGCATGCGGCTTTTTAAGGATAGTTTCGTGACGTTATTTATTTAGAACCGTCTCGTATTTACATATATTACAGCTGTTGAACGTTGCGTTTTTACTGAATTTGAAAAAAACGGCTTTTATTATTTTTTTTGTTTGCCTACCCCTGCATTAAGTCAATATAGAACATAAACGTATTGTGTATTCAGCTGCAAAAGTATTGTTTTTATTTGACAAACTTGACTGTACATACGCTCCTCGTGATTTATAAAAACTTACATTTTTGTAAGAACCAAGATAATAAAAGTTGCTCACTGAATTAATTACATTTATTATACGTTTGCTGCGTTTGCAGTTGTGTACAAGTAATTGTACTTTGGTCTTGAATAGTTATTAAAAGCTTTATCGTGAAAAATATCGCTGAATAAAAACATACATTTTCAGAGTATAACAATCAAATATTTTAAGATATACAGTTGATGCAACATTTGAAAGAAAAAAATATTGTCGTGTTCCCGACAGTTTCCTAAAATATTTCAACCTTTATATTAATTTTAAAAAATAAACATGCCATAGTAATGTTGGTCAGGCCCTGGCCAAGAAATTATAGACTGGTGGCATTCGCTTTTCAGCAGGTGACAATCGCTACCAAATATATAAATTACGTAAATAATTGACCCTAATATTTCATGAAAGCCCCCTGCGGCAAAAGCCATCTTATATAAGAACTGGATAGTCTCAATCAGGCCAGTGTTTAATAGAGTACCGTATGAGAATGCGCACACCTCATGCTAACGTCACAACGTCAATATGTCAGGTCAGCACAAAAAGTAATAGAGCGATTGTATTTTTGGGTCACTCAAAAGTGATAAATATGTCACTACCCATTATGACCTCTTGATATAATACATGTTTTACTGTTCTCTGTAATTAATTAGCATTTTCAATGCAGGGGCAGGGGGAGCAATACAGCCCAAAGTCAATCACGTCTCGAATTTCATAAAAGACAGCTCACAGAAATATATCACTTTTATCTACTGATCAATACAGTGTCCAATGCAGTTACGTTACAATGCAGTATGACACCATGAAGGTGGAATTTGCATTTTCATTTACGACTCATTGTCAATCTCGTAATCTTCAGCTGAAATATCTCTGATAAAATTCTGCAACTGTCAGCACAAGATATGGCACTATATGGCAGCAATTACCAGATCTGCTCCATTATAAAATCTACGGGCATAAGCTAATCTTTTGCATGCATGCATACATATAGGACAATTGAGATACAATAAAAATGGACACGGTTAATCATTTAGATTAATGCAAACAGGGAAACAAATTAAACTACTGTAGTGCATTCAAATGTTGGATAATGATCTTCATAAACCACAACAATATTGTTACACTAGCCTTTTGCCCGTCCTAGGATGGAAGATGAAATATTAAAGATGTACATTTACTTGTTCTTGTGTGATTGTAACTTTTTTTAGGAATTGTTGCACATACATTTTTCTGAACTTAAAACATTTAATTAAGGAGAATGTATCGGTATTTTGTGTGAATCTCTTATCACTGTTCAAAAGGTGTCCCTGCAGTTGACTATCCTTGATGAACACTTTGATCCGCTGAGGATTTTAGATCTAGACAGAGCCACGTACAACTGTCCATGGGAAATTACGTGTCCATTGAGATAAATACCCATATTTTCAAAAATCTGACCCTGGCACTTGTTGATCGTCATCGCATACGCAGGAATTATCGGAATTTGTCGTCGTTTCAGTATGAAAGGAATAGTGACGTCACTTGCAGCGAGGTCGATTTTCGGGATGAAAACGATCTTGCCTCGGTTGCATTCCGATACAATATCTGCGGTGATTAAGTTATTTTGTAATGATTTGACCATCAAACGCATTCCATTGCAAAGACCATTCTTCGGGTTCAGATTTCCAATGTGTGTGGTGGCATTCCTGAAGGCGTTTGATCGTGAAGAAATTCTGGAGGGTAATTCAATGGGTCCGCAGGATCTTCCGACACGATGGAGTCATAGCTGAAATAATTTGAGCACGGACTCTTGTGTATCTTGTGCAATTTTAAAAGGCAAACAATATCTGTCTCAAAATAATTTGAATTAACACTTCACGTAACTTTAGCACTGCTTTGAACTCACCTGAAGCTTTGAAATCACAAATGTTTCTTCCCCGATGGACGATTGATAGGGAAGAGTGAATAAAAGTAGACTGCTGATACTGTCAGAAGATTTCAAATTAAAAAAGACCAAACATAACCATTCAATTTACGAAAAATTGACCAGAGTATTATTATTCTTAGGTTTTTTCGGTAAAGTCACATAGGTAAAAAAATTAAATTAATAAAAGTAAAATAAAACAAATTAAAAAATTCACGACGTTTCGGAAGCAATACAAGCCTCCGTCTTCAGGTGGAACCGTCACAGCCACGACAGCTGTATCAAGTACTTGATAAAGCTGTCGTGGCTGTGACGGTTTTATTTTACTTTTATTAATTTAAAATTTTTACCTACGTGACTTTACCGAAAAAACCTAAGAATATGAATCCTTGCAGTCACGAAAGCTTCAAATCTAGAATCAGAGTATTATTGTATCTTGTGTAAATTTAATGGCAGTGAATCTTGCACAAAACTATGTTATAAAACACGTCACTTCATGTAACTGTAGCACTATTTAACTCACCTTCAATTAGTTCTAAATCACTGCTCTGATACTTTATTTTCTTCTGCTTTCATTCGCTGGGGTTGAAATAAATTTGAATTCGATACAATATCTGGAAAATCACGGAGAAATGTAAAAAATGTATAATAATTTAGAAGCAAAAATTAGACTTACCTTTTGTTCCAAGTGCTGAAGAAATAAAGACACCAAAAGCACTTTCTTTCTGCCTAGAGTAATTTATTTGATAAAAAAAAATTTCAATAAAGAAACGGCAAATTTTATGCGAATTTGCGTAAAAAACATTTCTCCGTTCGACCTAGGGGAGTGTAAAAATCTACCTGCTCATGATTATTAATGAGGGGGGGGGGGCTCTTTTGCAGTGACGTCACAGACGGATGTAGCACTGTGCTGCGTATATCTATTTTTGACCCGTCACTTTCTGTAAAGAAACGTCATATTTGAAGCGACTTTGCGAAAAAAAAAATATTTCCGCTCGACCTTCTTCCGCATGAGTGTAAAAATCCATTCGCTCATGATTATTTTATTATTAATTACGGGGGGGGCGGCATGTGCAGTGATGTCACGCACGTGACACATTTCTGGACTATTGTAGTAATATGCACACCAAATAATGAAAACATCTTACAATTTGGTTTTATATCGTATGTTAATGCAGTTGCTTCTAAAACACGCTACAGAAATAGAATATGTGCATCATGATAAACCACCCAACAGCGACAAACTAGAAATTGAGAAAACCTTCATGATGGTGAGCGGGCCCGGGTAAAACTACGTGGCCAGGATGTCGGAGCCATTCCGTGTTCACCTTGGGGTGCGACAGGGATGTCCTCTGGCTCCCACATTATTTAACAACTTTTTCGACCACGTAGTTCATGAAGCCTTTGATGGCTGTACCAGAGGAATTCTACACTCGGGTCTTGAATGCCCATCTAACCACGCTATGGCAGAACTAGACACGGTTCGCTATCCTGGTCTGGACCACAAGCTGGGTCCCGGACCGCATGGCTAGAGGCTTCTTCTCCCCGATGTGGATCTTCAT